CCAAGTTAAATAGAAAAGCTGTTGCAGGGCGTGTTGCCAAAGAGCACATGGTCAAATCAAAACTGCCAAATTCGGTGCTTGGAAAGATTTGGAAATTGGCCGATGTCGACAGAGACGGACAATTGGATGCGGACGAGTTTGCTCTTGCAAACTATTTGATCAACCTCAAACTCGAAGGTTTGTGCCTCGACAGTATTGCCATTATAACAAAGTTAGGAACAATTACGCTTTGGGAATATGAATAACCATAACAAATAAGTATCCTCTCCTCGTTAGGAATGCGTTAATCTCCTTTTATGGCTTTGACGCAACTTTGAGGGCGCCTCAAGACCATAGTGCTAGTAAAGATGACGTCTCCTCACATTAGCCTTTGAGTTGCCTTAAATCCTAATTTGATGGAATTGGCTTTTTTAGGCCATGAGCTGCCGGTCGAACTGCCTAAGCATCTGGTTCCACCGTCAAAACGCGAAATGGAGCCGGTCTACCCGAAATTGGATGACGAGTAAATGCATGAATGCCATCCGAACACTTCTCGTGCGTTTATCAGTTTCGATAATAACTGAAACGAGATTCTTGTGATAACTGAAATCCAGTTGTGTCTATAAAAGCGGCAATGTGATTCACTTTAACTTCGGTCTGTAGATACACCTACTAGAGTTCTTTTTTCACGAAAATAATTCATACATATTAATTCATGCAATCCTCATCTAATACGAAAGCTTTTGTTAGGTCGATTGCGCTCACCTTCGCTTAGTTTAGGGTCTCACGATGCCTTTTGTCAATCCGCGTGCGTGTGTAGAAATTACCTGAGCGATTCATTTTTATTAAAAAAAAACATTTCTGGTCTACTGTTATTCTACATGATTAATGTCTGAAGAAAAATCTAATCCATACTTAGTTAATGAGCATCGTCAGAAACTCAGTTCTAGTAAAGGGCATGTAATCTATTCGCGATTTATTGTGATATATTTTTTTCTTTACGTTTTTGTTCGATTTGTTCCAAAGAATTGTCTAGCGCATCATTCTGTTCATTAGTATTATTTATAATTGTTTTACCTATGAAGATTTGATTTCAAGTTGTAGATGTTACATAGATACGAAACGGTAATGGGTAGTAAAATGGGATAGGACCTGCCGCAATCAGGCGAGAGCGAGTACGACGGGCATGCCTCATCACGAATTCATTTAGGACCCATCCCGTAGAGCATCTGGTCCGTGTCACCCTGCAACTCAAACAGGGATAGGATTTAGGTACGCTACAAGTACACTTTTCTATACCCATATGTGTGTACAAGTGTAAACTTGGCCTAAGGTGTGTGGGTTAAACACAGGGCATCCTTTCATGTGAAGATTACTCTTGCAGATTATAGTGTAGGTACAATTTTACGTGGTACTTGAATGCACGCTTCATAAAAGTAACGTGTAGAAGGTGTATGTAAGTACTCCGATCAATCAAATCGCTATTGAGGTACCTGCTCGCTCGGTGTAGCTCGACGAGAAATAAGATCCTCAACTTTTTCCAAGAACTCCAAGTCAACTTGGGTTATTCATGGATGCTATGTTTTTAGCCGCAGTGTCGTGTTTCTCCGAAATTTCATGCAGAATTGAGAAAAATGGAAAAAAATCCTACTTATATAATCGGCTAAGTTTGTCTGTTTGTGTGTTTGTGTGTGTATGTGTGTGTGT